CTTGCCTCTCAGTGTCCTATATTGGTCTATATCCATAAATAATAAAAAGGCTGATAACATTGCTTTATGTAAGCAGGCTTAGAAATCACTCTCAGATAAGTGCTTTTGACCTAAATCTTGTAGCGCCTCGATCTGACATATAACCCCACAACTGTGAAATTCTGTATGAGATTTAACAGTCTCAAACTGCCAACTGACCCAGCCATAAAGCAAGCAGAGATAAAGATTTACAGTCCAACATGATACAATTAGACATTCACCTTCTATTTATTTCAGTGCAGCTGAGCATTTAACCTACTTAAAAGCAGAAGGTTTTTCATTAAAATATAAATGCGTGTTTATCATTCATTCTATGCCGCCTCCCTCTGCATCCTACAAATTAGTCTATTATGAATGAAAGATTAGTTTGTTTCAGAGAAAGAAGTAAACAGGAATGGTTTCTGTAAAATCCTTCTAGACATGCAAAGATAAAAGATGGCTTTACCACACAAAATAATCAGATACAAATAGCTGTTCAGAAGCAACACACCTAAGGAGTACTTTAATCAAATATTTAGGTTACCTGCCAAAAAGACCATGATCTCTTCAAAATGCAATGCGGATTAAAGTGTTATCTAACACAAGCAGAAAACTAACCTTGGAGTGGAAGTTTGAAATGTGTTCATCATAATTTTCATGTCTTTGGATAGAGAAACCAGCTTTTTCAGCTAGATTGCAAAACTGGTTTAAAGTATTCCCTCGGCGTGGGGCGAATACCATTGCTTTCCCCTAGAACATTAAAAAGGAAATTCACACATTTTAAAATTGGAAGGCAACCAAACATAACGGACATTGGTCAAAGCATTTAATGTACTGCTCTCAGACACAAATACTCAATTGTTCTTGACATGTCCACACAGGATGGGTATTCACAATGGAAATAATTTCCAGGATAGATATACATCAAACAAGAAAAAAACATTCATGTTCAAATGTCCAGTTGCTGTGTTTCATCCTTTTCAAACAATGCATATAATAAACAAAATGTGGTTGAAAGTTGGTGTTCTGAATAATACCCACTGTCTCGGGGCCAATGGCTTAAACCATCTACTAGATTTTAGAGTAACTGGTCCAGGGAAGTTCCACTCACCTTGTGACTCCGGAGCACCTGCCAACACATCTGCAACACGACTCCAGAGCAGGTGGCAGCAAATGCTTATATATGTTAGTTTATTGTGTCCTGAAAATTCAGTACCAAGAAATGCTTCATAGAGACAGATAACCACAGATCCTTTTGGGGAGTTTTCACATTTCAGTCCTGCATCAGCCTTGTCTGTGAGCACGCTGCCAGAGACAAGGCTCCAGGGTCTCGGTTTCCAACTTCACTGAATCCCTCATAAGGGTCATCGCTGTAGCAAAGCTGCTCCTCACAGTACTCAAATGGTTGTTTTGCAAAGAAAGTGGTATCGTGAGGGTAAATAGGCTTTTCTAAATAATCCACACAATCTTATGAGATTGTGGCAGTGCGGAGAATGGGAGGACTGGAATGAAATATATACTGAATTGCAGAAGATTATCTGACATGAAACTTCACAAGGACAATTTGCTAACTGCTGGGTGCATGTAGATTTTCCCTCCATCTCCCAGATGTGAACAGAATGGCCAAACTTCAGAATCTTTTTCTATTTTTTTTTGAAGATGGATGTACGGTTCAGTTAATTTCAGGTTTACACTTCACCTCTATGAAATGTGAGGTGAAACCACTTCAGGTTTTTTTTTTTTTTTGAGACAGAGTCTCACTCTTTTGCCTGGGCTAGAGTGAGTGCCATGGCGTCAGCCTAGCTCACAGCAACCTCACACTCCTGGGCTCAAGTGATCCTTCTGCCTCAGCCTCCCGAGTAGCTGGGACTACAGGCATGCGCCACCATGCCCGGCTAATTTTTTCTGTGTATTTTTAGTTGGCCAATTAATTTATTTTCTATTTTTAGTAGAGACGGGGTCTTGCTCTTGCTCAGGCTGGTCTCGAACTCCTGAGCTCAAACAATCCGCCCGCCTCGGCCTCCCAGAGTGCTAGGATTACAGGCGTGAGCCACTGCGCCCGGCCCACTTCAGGTTTTGAAAGAACCGGGAAAATATACCCCAGTGTCTCATGAAAGGTGGTTATCATTCATACATACCAACCATTTCTTGAGCATCTGGTACGTCAGACATGAGGCTGGGCATTCACGTACACATCATCTCCTTTAGTCTTCAAACCACCCCATGCTGTAGGTATTAACAGCTCTTCCAGTAAATGATCAGAAGCTCCAACACTGATGCTCTTTCCAACTACACTACATCGTCTCCTCATTAGTAACAGTATGACAATAATAACGATAGTTGCCACTGTGCTGGGTGCTTCACAAACCCTCCCTTTAATCCCCTCAACAATCTTCTTAACAACCTTGTATAGTAGACATGGCATTTTACAGATGATCAAATATGCAGGGAAGGATTTGAAGACTGCAAGTGGAACTGTATGGTAGAAAAATTATGGACTTAAAAGGAATCTCCACCATTAAACAGTAGTGGCACCTCAGTACAATCAGAAACAAAAGAATCATAGAACCTGCTGAGCTAGAAGGGACCTTGGAGATGCTGTAGTCCAATCTCCTCATTTTGTAGATAAGAACCATAAGCCATTCTAGCCAATCCACTGAGTTTTCTCATCCATGAAATGGGAAGAACAAAGCCTATCCTACCTTTCTTTTCCCCCAAGCAAGTTGTGAGAATCAAATGAGGTGATGGATGTGAAAATAATTTGGAAAAACAAGGGTATACAGATGTAAGATTAAAAAATCCACACCTACTAACAGTGCTATATAAATTCCATTAACTCTCTCCCCCTCTCTCCCTCACTTACCTGAAAGAAAATACACCAACACACTGTCCTGGACATCAAATGTGTTTTCATACTGTGTTTACATAGACATGTACACACTCAGGCACATAATTATAGCAGCACCATTCATGCCACTACACTTAAGGTTCTGTCAGCTTTTCCAATATTAATTGCTATTTTCAGGCAGTTTTCAAACTTAGCAGCAAAAATTCATTTTTACATGAAACTAGATATAATACATGGTCTCAGCAGGAGAGCAAAAGTCTCCATTAGGAAAAAAAAAAAAAGGGAATGCTAGTAGGTCATTTTAGTCATTTCTAAGAGCTGGCTTGCCATTTCTGGATTTTTGAATAATGGAAGTTGTTATATTTTAAAGTCACCTGCAAAAATTATCTTACAGTTACACTTGAAGAGTTGGTTTTCAACAACCATTATCTAAGCTGTGTACCGTAATGTTTGTAGGGCTACGGGTTTCTCGGTTGGGCCAATGCTGGCGTGCACTAAGCACACGCTCTCCACACGACACCTACTTGCTGGTGGGGGTGAGCTGCAAGGGATTGCAACTAAGCACGTGGCAGTGCTCTCTGTCTAAACATCTCTGTCCTCCTTCTGGTCTCAGTTTACCTGTCCTTCCCTAACCACTCTGCCTAGAACAGTAGGCCCCTCCCTTATCACTCACACCCCCATCCCAGCTTGATTTTTGTTCTTGGCACTTATCACCACTGACACGCATTGTGTCTTGTTTGTCATTGCCCGTTCCTCTGGCTGGAACGGACGCTCCATGACAACGGGATCTTCTAATGTTTTATTCACCACATTTTCTCAGTGCCTTGCATATAGTAAGCACTCAGTCAATATTTGTTGAGAGAATAAACTAAATCCAGATGTTGAGTAATTTAAAAAATGCGAGTCTTTGGGAATTTGAAGGTCACGTTCTATTGCTTATTCTTTTGGAAAGATTTTCTCCAAGAAGCTTTTACAGAGTCAGCTGCTGTGATGGAGCTTCAGAGGGTGGCATTCTGTGCACGGTGCTGTGTGCCCATGAGAAAGAGAAAGAGCGAGCAGTAGTTCTAATCCCTAATTACTCAGTTATGACTTTTGTTTTCTTTTTCAGTTCATTGAATACAGATACCTTTGAGATGTGGATTAATATTTAGGAGGGAAAATAGTACATCATCTACCTCATTCAATAAATATCCACTAAGCCCTGCTGAGTGCTGCGTTTGCCTCTCCCCATAGTGACTGGTTTCAGAAGCCCCCGGCATCCCTAGGGGAGAGAACGCATCATCTGTGGAGAGTACAACCAGAAGAATACGCCTTACAATTTGGGCTGCGAAAATCAAAACAAGAAAAAGAATATAGATTTCAGATTAGCCCATCAGTTTAGAAAAATTATTTTCAGTTTACCAAAGCACAACTTTCTAAGCATTCAGTCACAGAATCACTTTAAACTCAGAATGAACGCTCAATTGAATGTAAAATGTTGATTGATGAGCAGAAATTTGAGAGAATTCATTTATCCCTGGAGAGAAGAGAGAGAAGTTTCACTAAACAACAGTGATACTGTTTACCTTGTGAGCTCAGTTGTTATTTTGCTAGACTAATCTATACTCATATATTAGAGGGTGTACACTTTTAGAAAAAATAAGTATGCTTCAGATTTATTTCAAAAGGAATATGCTATGCAATGGAATGCCTTTATTCCTTTTGCATTTCCAGGCAACCAACTATTAAACACCAATTACATGTTTAAGCTTAGGCTTACTTTCTATGTCTTTACCTGGTTCTTGAGACGCTGCCGTCACCCGCTTTCTCTCCTACCATTTCTCAGTCTCTCTCGGTCCCCTTCCTGGCTTCCCCTCTCCCATCTGCCCTTTACTTGTCAGTGGTCCCCAGGTCTCTGCCTACTTTTTTTTTGTTGTTGTTGTTCTATCTAATTCTAGGCAATTGTACCAAAGTCCTTAGCTTCAACTATCAATTATACACCAATAACTACAAGTCCATAGCTACAGCTTTCACTCTTGCCCAGGGCCCACCCCCATAGATCTCTGCGTGTGGATAATCTGAAAATGCCTTCAATCCATTCTGCACAAAATGGAGCTCAGTATCCTGACCCCAAGCCCCTACCCTTCCCAAGGCACTACTGGTCCAACACAACACACACACACAGAGGCACACAAGCTGAGTACCTACTAGGAACCAAGCACTTCCATACCTATCACCTTCAAAATGAAGCTGGAAACCTGGGGATCATGGCCCTTTAAAAATCTTTCAATGCCACATCCCCCCACCTGTGTCACTGTCACCTGCTACAGATGGTTCTCAAACTGTGCTCTGAATTGTTTCAAGGGTGGCCTGGAGGGATAAAAGGGAGACCAAGACAGAGGAAGCACTAGTCTCACATCCAGTTTAACTAAAGCTGCTTTACTTTTATCTGTTTTATGCTCAGGGTACTGGCTAAAAATTTTTCACCAAAAGCTTCTGCCATTTACCAGGGTTTGAAAACCACTGACATGGGTCCCTCCTTCTTGGTATGGCAGGCAAAGCCCACTTTGACATGACTCCTGCCTTAATCTCTAGCCTCTTCTGCCTCTCCCTCAGACTTGCCTTGGGCTCTAGGTAGACCAACCTAATCGCAGCCCTCTGTTATGTTCTTTTACATATCCCTGTGTCTTCGAACATGCAAACATTCTTTTTGGGTGGAATGCCTCTCTTGACTCCAGTTCTCTGTCTGTCTAGTGATCTCTTATTCGCCCCTCAGCACTCAGATTAGACACCACGCCCTGTGATGCCTCTGCTGGCCTCTCTGGCCTCCACACTGCACTTCCTCCCCGTTAGCCACTCCCACTCCCTGCCTCACAGGGTCCCCCCGCCTGTGCTACACCCTTGACGCCTGCTGGACCATGAG